GGGGTGGGGATTATTGATTTTTTTATAAGACGCACTCGGGGATAGGGGGAGGGCTGGATGCAACACCAGAGGACAAAAAAACTGAAACTGGAAGCAAATTTTTAATGTTTAGAATTTTGATTACTACTACAGCTCTCTGCAAAGTAAGGTGTGCATTGGTGCAGGCCTTGTGTGAAATCGGGAGCCGTCATAACTTGTAAGCGTGTTATGGAACTTAGGGCCTAAGTGTTCGTGTTTCATTGGATTGGTGACAGTAAATAAGATCGCCATAGTTTAGCTCTCTGTTTAAAATTTGCAGATTTTCAGTATCACTGCATCTTGCCCTCCCACAGTTCTTACACCTCTCTTTGTTTGAGCATTAATTTTTGTCTTTCACGTTTATTATATAGGCCTATATATATATGATATGAATCATGACAGTCGATATTCTGGTTTTAGGCTCAAAACAAGAGTCATTTTTATATAGTTTATATATACAGGCGAATGTGATGAAGGGAAAATATAAATAAGTTGCACAAGACCCCATGTGCCACCACTTTCTGTGCGTAATCAAGATTGTAAAATATTTGGTACGTGACTCTTTCACAAACCCTCAAATTGGTTTGAAATAACCTTGCTTTGATAGATTGATGGTTTTTATTTGTGCAGCATTCTAGGGTTCAACAGTATGATAATAATGGGTGTTTCGCGAAAATGGGCTTCTGTGGCGATCACCCGGAAAGTTCCTCCTTTTTTAGAATTCTGAGTTGAGACCCATGATAAAGCTAAAGTACAGTAATGTAAGGAATGTTTGCAGCTCCCATGTCCGTCCACTTTTTCTTTAATAAGGCAATCTTAACAGTGATAGGGGGATTGTCTGAGGTCTTGAGGTTTTCCATGACATAGGCAGATTTATATAGACCTACTGTGAGTGAACATTGGAAAATTTGTCTTAACCATTTGCCTCCTACGATTTGTCTAACTACAAGCCCCGAAATCCTTGAAAAGGGAGAATCCACTAAAAATATGCTTATGTTTTTATCAATTTAAATTGCGGGGAAAACGCAACTATGTTAGGAAAAGAATACTGCTTTTAACATGCCAGTTACCGCTGAGGAACAGAATGGGCAAGTTTATTTCTTACTTTATATTTGTGACAATTGGGTTTTCTTTTGTGACTCATCTTTCTCGTTAAATTAAAAAGGTAGCCAACTTCTCAAGTGATTTATAATTACAATATCACGATAGACTGAGAAATGAACTTTCATCGTGTCTTTGTTTGAGCGAGATCAGTTCATGGGCTTAACTTTTTTGTATTATCAAAGTTTCCTTTGGTTTGTCTAAGTTTTAGCTTCATCACACCCTCCATTTCGTCATAAAATCATATATTCTTTAACAATTCACACATGCACTATTTTTTTAGGTCAATTTCGACCTTTCAAAAGCTCTAAGAAAAATCAACCCTACTTCTGTTTTGCTTTTTAACTTCATTTTCAGTCAAGTTTACTAAATTACACTTTCAACAAAATAAGAACAGATCTTTAAATGGCTCTGCCGTACATACCCCCTGTGGGTCGGGGGGATATAAATAGACCCACTGCTCCACCAGGAGGAGGTGCAACCCCTTCACTGGCAATTTGTCGCCCATGGACATCTACGCTCAGGTGCACATGGGCGACACTTGCTTTGGTGTATCGTCTGTCTTCTATCGTCTTTCTTCATTCTTCTTTCGTCCTTCCCTGAGCTGACCGGGGAATACGATAAAAATAGTTGGCTGTCCCATCAACAGGGGGTGTAACCCCCCCCCCCCCCCCCCCCCGCTGGTGGGATGCCACTCGTACGTCACTAGCTCTCTAACGTAGGGGTTTCATCTTTTGTCCACTCTTGCTATGTCTTCTATCCATCTATCTTTCTTTCCGTTCTGTTGACCGAAGGTCCGGTCCAGCAAAGAATAGACCCCAAATCCCCTCAACGCGAGGCACCCTGTTGACCGTGGGGTGCGACCCGCCGGAGAGTGACCCTGGTGGCTGAGGTGTGGCTTTCCTCACCAACACGCCACTTTGGCCCTGGATTCGGTCTAGACGGGCGGGTGCAGTGGCCTACTGCACTCAGTCGGTTGCCACCGGTTCATAGAACCGGTTTATGGCCAATCTTGGTTAGAAGGCAAGATTTCTTGCCGTCTGATTGGGAGTATACCTCCAGGGTAGCCCTGACACCAGCTATGGACTTCCGAACGGTGTCCCCTTGTTGGACTTGGTGGCAGGTGGGGAGCCCTGAAGATGAACAAAAACGTAATAAATATGGATATAAAATCAAAAATTTCTCCCACCCCAATTCCCAACAAGTCCCAGACAGGAGAAGCAGGTGCAACTCCTGGCCTGGGCAAAAGAAAGAAGGGCCTTTCGGGCGATCAGCATCTGGGACCTACCAAAGAGAACATCTTTGGGGTGGTCACCATTTTTGGTGATCTCCCCAAAAGATGAAAAACAAGACACAAATCTCACTACACTAAGCGTTTTTAAGATACACAAATCCCTAAAACATTTCGGTATACACAAACCAAAATATATTAAAAAACTAGGATCCACGGACCTCCTGATACAAGTCAGTTCTAGCATTTAATCAGGCAAACTGTTGGCCTGCACCTCGTTTGGTGGCATCCCTGTATGTGTTCAGCCTCACAGAAGTCTGAACACATCCAAGGGTGTCATCAAAAGCCGAGAGCTCTGCGGCTGTACCGAAGAAGAAATGGTTCAGGAGGTCGATGGAATTGTCCATGCTCGTCATATCAAAATACAGCGGGATGGCAAGGAAATCTGTATCAACACGTGGATCCTTACCTTCAACACACCCACACCTCCAACAAAATTAGACATTGCATACTTAGAACTCAAAGTTAGACCATATATACCCAAATCGATGCGCTGTTTCAACTGTCAGCGCTTCGGGGACACACAGCTGCGCTGTCGTCGTGGTGCAGCGTGTCCTCGCTGCGGCAAGGAGGGACACTCTGGGGAGACTTGCTCTGCAGATCCCTGGTGTCCAAATTGTCGACAGGGGGTTCACTCTGCATCTTCGACGGAGTGTCCGAAGTGGTGTTAGGAGAAAGCCATCCTAACACATAGGGCCCAGTATGGCGGAACGTTCGCTCAAGCAAGAGCAACGCTATACCCAAAAGGATCGACGCCGAAGAATACAACAAAAACATATTCAGAAGTCCTGAAGACTGTCCCAGGGTCAGTAAACCCAACCCGAAAGGTCCTTCAGACAAATAAAAAACAGAACACCTGCAAAAAACAACACTCCAGTCTGGAGACGGAGGAGGACATGGAGTCCTCTTCCTCCCCTCCTATCTCTCCCTCTCCCCATCCACCATCTCCCCACACCCCCTCTTAATCACCACCCTCTCAGCCATCTTCTTCATCCTCACCCCCTTCATCATCCTCACCCTCATCATTCTCATCATCACCCCCATCATCATCACCCCCATCATCTTCACCCACAACATCCTCCCCATCATCATCCTCACACAAATCACCACATCCTACACCCTCATTGCTTCAACCTCCATCCCATCATCCTTCATCCAATAATGCCCCCTCCACCCACTCCCCGCACCCGCTCCCCCTCCTCTACCCGCATCCGGGACTCCGGTCCTCCTCCCCCTGCACACTCTCCTTCCAAAAAAGCTGCTGTCCACCGTGACTGCAGCAAAACAAAACAAAGACATCACCTACGACCAAAAAAAAAAAAATGTACCGAACCCGTACCCTCAAAATAAATAAAAATGGCAGTTCTTCAGTGGAACATTCGCGGTTTGCGTGCAAACCGGGCAGAACTCTCTTATCTTTTGACCTCACACACCCCAAATGTAATCTGTCTACAAGAAACTAAATTGCCAACACCCACATTCACATTTTAAAACTATCAAACTTACAACCAAATATACACCGACAACCAAATCGCCTCTGGGGGCAACTCCATTTTAATAAATAACCCAACACTACACAGACAAATACAACTAAACACAACACTTCAGGCAGTTTGCGGTCAGGGTCACCATACACCGTCCTATAACTATCTGTTCAATATACATCCCTCCAAATTGTCCTCTATCTTTAAGAGAACTAATAAACCTCAAGAGACCAGCTCCCACAACCCTTCATCATGTTGGGAGA